GGAGGGCTGCCCCCAGTCCTGAGGAAGACAGGTGCCAGGAGGGCCCGAAGTTCCTGCTTGCCCTTTAGAAATCTCCCTCCTGTGAAGGGAGATCTTGCTTGTTCTGTGTCTTCGGAATTCCAATATTCCATGGCCTGCATCTTCTCCTCTCAAACATGTATTAGACGAATACAAACTTTAAGTAAAAAAAAAAAGTATTGGCGAGGTTATGTGTTTCAGTGGAAAGCACAGCAGCCTAAAAGTGCTTTCAGATTCTAGGAGGCCGGCAAGGGTGCACCCAGATGGGGTGGGGATCTTGTTCCAATGCACAGTCTGTGTCTGCAGGTCCCAGGGGAGCCCTACCGGCTGCCTTCCTAGCGAGTTCCCCCAGGGAGCCTGTGCTGTTGGTCCAGGGCTTATAGTCCGAGGAGCAAGGATCTAGACCTCATTTCAAATACTGACTTCTCACGGCCTCCGTTTCCTGCCTGTAAAATAAGGGACTTTGAACTAAAATACCCTTTAATTCTGACCAACACCAGCAGCAGCAGGAGTAGAGAGCTGACAAGGCTGGCCCATGTCAAGAGCAGATCTCTGCTCTGAGTTTTCAAGGACTCCCCATTCAGCACCGTGAGAGCAAAGCGGAAATGGGAAAACAAGACAGGAAATACATACAGTTTTTATTCTGATGGTCCCAGGGTTTCCAGGTTTAGTCACATGGTGCCTTTACTAACATTGAAAAGTCTGGCTTTCATTAGATCATAGGATCAACAAATAACCTTCCAATTGTTTCATTTGTTTTAAGTAAGCTACTAGGTAGGCTTAACGCTCTCCACGGCATGCCCAATGGAACCCTAATTACCGGGCAATAACCCAACGTAGGCACACAAGGTTATCACCTTAGAATCTGAAACCTATTTTTAACCAGAGTAGAAGTGAAGATACAGCTTAATACTACCTTTTCTTCTAAACCTCTCAGGGGTGGAGGAATTTAATTCCTCAAAATCATTCTTATCCTTCAGGATTCTCTCAGATGTTCCCTCCTCAGTAAAACTTTCCCAGAGGCCACAGTCAGAATCAGTAGCCACCTCCCGCCCCTCGGGTCCCAGTTACGCACCCATCAAACCACACACCTCACCAAACCACACACCTCACGGTTGGGCTCATTCAGCTATCTGCCTATTGTCTCCCGCACTGACTTACAAGCCCTTTGAGCCATCTTGATGGTGTAGAGCAGTGGTTGGCAAACCGCAGCTCGCGAGCCACATGAGGCTCTTTGGCCCCGTGGCATGGGCCATGAAGTTTCAATCGCACTGTACGTGCACGCCCGCACGTGGTATTTTGTGGAAGAGCCACACTCAAGGGGCCAGTTTGCCAACCACTGGTGTAGAGACTTGGAGCCCAGGCACCTGAGTGAACTCTTCAGCACTGTTCTGTCTTGGTCATATGTCCTCAGGAGGCCATGGAAAGTTCTGGCCCGGATGCCCCTCTCTGTAGTGGCCATGATCAGATGGGGTTGTTGGAGGGTTGTGTGAAAATAATGGGTGTGACACCAACTCCCTCCTCTCCTGAGTAGGTGTCTGATGAACATTTGCTATGTTTTACCTTCTCTAAGGTCAGGGAACATGACTTATAATCCTTACATTCTCACACTTCAGGAAAAGTCATGTAGAGTGGGTGCTTAACAAATTCTTTAAAGTTGAATTTAATATCCTGTCATTTAAGGAGATGGAGTGTATTTATTTTAGGCACAGCAATAATACGAGATGGAAGCAGAACTGTTTGGTTTCCCCCTAATAGCTGGTAGTGATTGCGTTTCTGAAGTTTATGAAATGTATTTTGAAGTAGTTATTAAAATTCTGACAGAGATTTATTTCTGGTTTGCTTAGTTGAGAAATCCTGAACACAAGTGGAAAAAAGATAAACACTATACAGGAAAAAGAAACTGTATTAACAGGTAGTTCTTATAGGATATCCATTTTTATATATTTATATGTATAAAACTTCTGGAAGAGTTACAAAAAATTGGTAATAGTAACCTTTGGGAAAAGGGTCAAGGGTAGAGGAGAAGGAACGTTTTATTTTCATTTTATACGTTTCTATATGGTTTGAGTTTTTGGCCACGTAGGCATATTTGTTTGTTTAATAAATGTTAATAGGGATATCTGGGGGAATTGAAGGATGGGCCATTTTAATTTTGCTCTTTTGTATATTAAAACCCCTAATACATTTTAAAGTTTTATTTTTAAATGGCTTAAGTACCAAGTGCTAATGAGAAATGAGGGTTTTCTGCCCCTACCAAGTCCCTAAGCGTCTCCATCACAGAAGTCCAGGGTGAGCTCAGCATTGACTACCTCCTGGGATGGGCTGTGTCCTCACACTACTGCTGGGTGGGGGAGAACTAGCACCGAGTTAGGAGCCTTAACGTACTGAAATCATCGCTTCATAAAGCCATGCTCTGGCTTAGTGAATACGAGGCTAAGCGACTGCCTGGAAGAAGGGGGATGACAGGATGTGGAGACCAGTCCGGCAGGAGTATCATCCCTCCCCCACCCGAAAAGCAGGGGAGTTGCCCTCCTTGGACCAAAGCATGGAAGCCAGTACTTTTTAACAACAGATTGGATTTTCATTTTCCCTTTAGCACCACAGAGCTGTTTTCAGCATTGACCCCTGACCCCCACCAGGGTTGGGAATGTGCCCCTTTGAAGTGTCTTAGAAAGAGTAGTGCACCCCTTGTTCTATGCGAGGGTAGAATGAAGCAGCATTTCCCCCTAGCTCCTGTCAATCATTTTCTGTTACCCCCGACTTAGCTAACTCTACGAAGGTGATGCCCAGGGAGAAGGCACCTCAGACATATTGAGGTACTGCTTTCAATCCTAGGTGGTACCACCCACCACACAGGGGCCTGGACAAACTGGGATGTTTTCACAGGAGGCCAGCCAGGGTGTTGGAGGAATCATGACCACACTATACAATGAACTGCTGACCGACTGGAATGTAGTCACCACTCACTTTTCTGTGGTCAAATCGTTAACTTCTCTGTACCTCAGGCTCCCCCCCATCCCCCCTCCAGTGAACTGGGCTTCCATAGTATTAACCTCCAAGGGTCATCATCAGAGTAAATGAGTTCATTCATGTAAGCACTTAGAATTGGTAAGGGTTCAGCAAGTGCTAGTGATCATTGTTTTTGTTGTTGTTCCTGGGGCTGGGGCTCAAGAAAGACTCCCAAGTGCTCAGATTGCAGCAGCCACGGGCCACTCTTAATCTGTGGGAGCTCTCATTCTGATTCGTAGGCATTTTTAAAGACACAGACATTATTATGAACAAGCTTAGCTACTGAGTATTCTTCTGAGAATAAACGGAAGAGCAAACTTGAGCCTCTTATAAATAAGAGCTATTGCATATGCATTTCCCTGGGTGGGTCTGTCTGCTTTTGGAATCCCTTTGCCTTATGCTGATACATTCCTTTGCATTGTCTCCTGGACATGCATTGAGGCCCATGGTATGTGTAGTCTCTTTATTGAAAAGGATGATCTGTGTATGGTCAGCCCCATAGCTCAGAGACGAATATACCGTCCCACCCAGGCGAGGCTGGCCAGCCACCTCTGCAGTATCCGAGCCTAAAGGAAAGCAGCTTTGTTTTGCCTTGTTCTGCAATTGCTCCAACACTGGCCGTTCACTGTAGCTGTCTGAACTTGGCCGTCTGCAAAGCAGCATCCACATGTCATTGATGTGAGGGTCACCAGATTGTCAAGTGCTCTTTTTCTGGGTCTTATATTGATCCATTAATAGTGTGGTAAGCAAATGAATTCAGGACGAATTAAGTGGGCTATTTCCCAAATGAATCCAAAGCAATACATCAGCCAGTGGTTTGTTTGTGTGTGTTTTTAAGCCTACAACTTAGATGCTGCTGAGTATCTTGAATGTGCCTTTGAAAAGGGGCTGTTCAAATGGTGCTTTGGTGAAGCAAGGGAAAAGTTAGAAATAAATGAAAGGTGTGTTCGCAGCTTTTTACTACACATGATCTTAGCCAAAAGGCCGAGAAGCAATATGTTCGCAGCTTTTTAAACACCACATTCAGATATAACTAACTTTCATTGTTAACTATGCCCTTTCCCCTGGACACTGCGCACCCTTTTGGAAACCTCCCTGAAGTAACATTTGCCACATCTAATGTCATTAAATCCTGAGAAGGAACCTGGACAGGGTTTACGGGGCCGGGTCTTTAGAAGAAGCAAGTGAATTAGAAAATTCAAGTGTATATACTCACACTGATGCAACAGGGACATCTACCTAGCTCTTGGTTTTCCATTTGCTTCCTTATGGAAGTGAAGCCAACTGTGATGAGTGGCATCATTTCCAAAGTGCTGACAGCGATTTCCCCTTCTCCTTACACTCCAAGAAAAAGTTTCCTGTTATGCACGGAGCGTGAGACTATTTTCAGATTAAATCTTGTAATCTCTGAACTCACCTTCCCCAGCTTTCTTTCCTCCCTAAGAAAAAGCCAGGGCTTTCAGAAGAGACTAGAGAGAAAGCACCCATGGAATCCTAAAGGGTCCCTAAGGGTCTGACCTTGGCCCAGGTCATGTGCTACAGGCAGAGACTGGAAGCAGACTGGGAATCCACTCTGACCTGGGAGCCCTTGACTCAGTCCCTCATCGTGGCCTTGTCATGGAGGTAAGTCAGGCATTCCGACCAAAGGGGATGTAACTGTGAGTCACATTATAGACTTGTTCTGTGTGGAGACTCCTTATGCCTGCCCACTCTGTACCCATCCCCACAACTGGCGAGAAGGTGACTGTTGTGTTTTTTGCCCTTGCCATTGGTCATGGCAGCCAAAGGTAGCCCACAGAGCTTACCCCCCAACTTGAAAAGGCTGATCAGTGTGTCCTAAAGGATATGTTTTTAGAGGAAACTTTTGCCATGCAAAATGCTGGAATGTATTTTGCTCCTTGTTCATTTGCTGTTACATGTGTCGTTTACTCTCAATCGCTGACTGTTTCTTTGTTTTCTGTGTGTTGCAGGCAGCATAGTCTACCTCGGGATGATGGTGGGGGCGTTCTTCTGGGGAGGACTGGCAGACAAAGTGGGAAGGAAACAGTCTCTTCTGATTTGCATGTCTGTCAACGGAACCTTTGCCTTCCTTTCTTCGTTTGTCCAAGGTTATGGCTTCTTTCTCTTCTGTCGCTTACTTTCCGGATTCGGGTAAGGTTTTCTCCTTCATATTTTATAGTAAAGTGTTTATTCTTCATAATTATACGTGTTCTCTACTCTAGAGGACCTCATTACCAAGAAATCATCCCTTAACACATCTCCTTCCCTATCTTCATGTCAGCGTTATGGACCACAATGCTGGTTCTTAGAAATGCAATTACCAGCATTTACATCCAGAAGAGAAGGGAACATATGTCCATGTTCTCATGGCTGATTCTTTTAGTATTTTACTTCTAGGAAATGGGTATTGTTTTAAATGGAAAGCTGTTTCCATGGCAGAGCACATTCATAAATGTATTTTTCTTCTGAAAATTTAATTCAAGCAAGAAATAGCTCTGGTCCTATATTATGGATAATTAAAAGTTTGAACCATTCAGGCACTCTCTTAAATCCAGGACGAGAGTGTCTCCAGTAAATGTTGTTTTATTGATCTATAATAACAGCATATTTAACTAGGTAGGAAGCCTGCTTCCTGAGATGGAATAGGTTTTTTTGTTTTTTTTTTAAGTTCTTGACTTTCTGTTGAACTAACAGAAGTTGTGCTGTTAGCCAAGTGCAATGGCATAGTACAGCCAATGGTGTAGTCATTTTCGTTAAAGAACTTGAAGCACTTGCTACTACTAAGCCAGTCCAAGCTTAGGAACCCAGAAGCTCAATTAGGAGAGTCCAAGGAACTCTGCTTGAATAAGGAAAAAAAAATAGTAGAAATAAAAAATTTCTGATTTGTGCTTGAGCACTTTATTTTCATTAGAGACATTCTTTCTAAAGTGCATAGCATAAGATGAATCTATAGGAATCATAAAAAATAAAATAAATAAATGGAGAAAGGGAAGGAGACAGTGCTTGGTTATGAATTTGAGCAGCATATCAGTTGTGGTTGTTGATGGTAAATGTACCCACAGAGCAAAACATAGTTTTGCCAGAAGAGAAGGTCAGAGAACTACAACATGCTTTTTTATTAATTACATAGAGTAGTACTTTAAAATCAGAGCTAAGATTAGCAGGAATATAAAGCATCAGAGAGAAAGTGCATAAGTGGGTTACTTCAAGAGCACAAAGATTTCCCCATGCAGACTAATGGGTCACTTTTATAGCTCATTCAAAATAATTTTAAATTTTTATATGATTTTCTTCTACAAGATTTGTATACATACTGAGATTGGTGTATTGTCCACAAATTTTTATAAACTTCTTTTTTAATCTTCTTACAGCCCCTCACATGCTACATTCTGCACACAATGGGCACTTTGCAAATATGAGACTAAATTGCACAAATTTCAGGAAATTTCATCAGAGTCAATACATTTCAGTAAACCATTTGAGTAAACCTAGAGCAGTGGTCCTCAACCTTCTGGCCAAGTGCAGTGGCATAGTACAGCCAATGGTGTAGTCATTTTCGTTAAAGAGCTTGAAGCACTTGTTACTACTAAGCCAGTCCTTTAAATACAGTTCCTCATGTTGTGACCCAACCATAAAATTATTTTCGTTGCTACTTCATAACTGTAATGTTGCTACTGTTATGAATCGTAATGTAAATATCTGATATGCAGGATGGTCTTAGGCGACCCATGTGAAAGGGTCGTTCGACCGCCAAAGAGGTCGCGACCCACAGGTTGAAATCACTGACCTAGAGGGTTAGAAAGTTTGGGAAAGTATAAAAATATTTTCTCCTTGGAAAATAAATGATCAGAATCAATAATTTGCTTTGAAATGGTGGCGGAAAGGAGCTTTTCCTCAGTCTTTGATGTTCAAAGCTCTGTGTGAGACTGGCTTGCATACACCGCTGACGTGGGAAGGTAATTTGGCTCATGGATTCAAGGGCTGCAGCATTCCTAATTCTGAGCAACTTGAGACACCTGAGGAAGAACAGGTGTTATTTGCGGCTCTCTGTTAAAGGACCTTCTCAAAGTCCATGGGATAAGACAGTCTTGCCCCCAGGAAAGGCCACGTTTCCCTCTGCTTTCTACCTACGTAATAGCAATAGCCTGTCTGGAGAACGCTAATAGCCTAAGTTCTGAATTTTCCAGTCCTTTCCATTTGCAGTCTTATCCAGGAAATTCCAACCATATCCACAGACTCAAAAGTACCTGACGGTGGCCAAATTATTATGGCAATAGTAATTGCCAGTCTGATGTGATATGATCAGCCCAGTTGACTGCAGAGAAGAGGGCCATTATGGTGGCTGCAAAATACTCAAAATGAATGGACTGTCCAGAAGCTAATTCAAGGGCAGTACAGAGCAGAGACTACTTGGGTATATTCATGACATCATCTTCTCTGTTGCAGATAAATCATCCTTCTGCTAGCAGGATGACCTCTAAGTAACGTAATTTACCTGGCAAAGCACAGACAGTGTATTGATAACTCAGCAAGCTCTCTAAGTTGTGATGCCAGAGGCAAGTGCACTGTGCCTTTGCGAAGTTGGCACAGGACTTGGAGTCCAGAGGCCAAGTCCATCTACCCTGCCCTTTACTGTGGGCCTCGGGAAAGCCACTTGGGTTCTCCAGGCTGATTCATCTTTTGGAAAGCTAGTATGAGGACCAAGTGAGATAATGTGTTAAAAGTACACGGTAGAGGAGGAAGTGTGGGATAATGTTTAGGAACAGTCCCCTATGGTTTGGCACTTACTGTCCTTTGTTCTTCATCCCAGTCCTGCCTGTGCTCACTGCCTCTGGATGACAGCAGAGGGAGAGTAAAAAAAGAGGCCTCTTTCTGGCTTTGAAATTTCAAGTCTTGCCCATGAGGGAAATAGAAAGGAGGAACCATAGGCAAAAGACTTGGGAGAAACCAGGGCAAGTAAAGTGGCGCCTCCCTGCTCCCCAGAATAGATGGAGATCCGCTCGCCTGGGGGCAGGGCTGAGAGGGGCCGCCACCTGAGCTTACTCACCTGGCCCACGTGACAAAACTCCCACAGTTCTGTGAGATCCAGCAATTAAGGGGACCTGGGAAATGAAGTTAAAGAAAATGAAGAAAGATAGTGATCTTTCTTAGCTGAGTTTATGGGTCATGTTACCAACATGTAACATGTAAAGTCGATGACAGAGGATTTTTTCATAAGTTTTTATTTATGTATAGTTGGCATACAATATTATATTGGTTATACACAGTGTGGCAAAAGTAAGTTTACAGTTGTTTGTATGGAAAATAATACAGTAATTAATAAAAATGCAAGAATAAACTCCATATTACATGTATTTCAACTGTAAACCTATTTTTGCCCCACCTGTATTTCAGGTGTACAGTATAGTGACTCAACATTTTTATACCTTACATTGTGATCACCACGCTAATTTTAAGTGACTTGAGTTACTAGTAATCATCTGTTACCACACACATTTATCATAATATTATTGACTGAATTTCCCTTTCCCGTTTCACCCTCCCCCCCCAACTTCTCCCTTCTGGTAGCCATCCCTTTGGTCTCTATTTCTATGAGTCTGTTTTTGTTTTGTTTTATTTGTTCATTTGTTTTGTTTTATTGTTAGATTCCATATATAAGTGAAACCATATAGTATTTGTCTTTCTCTGCCATACTTATTTCACTTAGCATAATACCCTGTAGATCATCCATGTTGTCACAAGTGGCAAGATTTTCTTCTTTTTTAATGCTGCATAATATTCCACTGTGTGTACACACACACACACACACACACACACACACACACACAATATCTTCTTTATCAGTTCACCTGTCAATGGACACCTAGGTTTTCCTCAGTAGCTCTAGAGTTCATCTGGATACTCTATCTCTAAATTGCTGGGTGGTCTCAGCCAAGTCTCTTTTTTTCTCTAATTCCACTCCAGTTCACCTCAAAAACCACTTCAGCACCTGCTCTACCCCTGAAACCATGCTGGGTCTTTCATGGATGTAGGTGAGCCCAGGCCCCGAGAAAGACCCGGGGAGTTCTTTTTGTGTTCTTGGTAGCACTTATTGATGCCTTAAAATATTTGCTTTTTATGTGTTTATTTTCCTCTTCCCCCAGCATGTGAATTCCAAGAGGATAGGGATTGACAAGACAAGTGTGTCTGCTCTTTAACTGCTTAGTTGCCCAACGTGGGCGTGGTTACTATAAAGGGTGGAGTCAAAGCAGCAGACTGCACAGACCTATATGGAGGGTGCACCCAGAAGTGAAATAGATAGGAAGTGAAATAGATACTAATTCTTACTTCATCTGTATAAGCAGAAGAGTTCTAGTCAAGTGAACAAAAGTTTAACTTGTATAATAAAAACAGAGAGTTCAATTACAAGACTTGAGCCAGTTTATAGATGAAGAACCCCTTGGATGAAAGATCCCGGGTCCCCTCGAGGAAAGATCCTGGTATATTACTGAAAATTTATACTGTTAATCTTTCAGCCTTCCTCAAGATACCTACAGCCTTTTACCAGGTAATTGTGCATGAGGGAAAAGAAAATAATCAGACTTTTCAGGACTTATTACGGGGCACTGCTTCTGAACTGACACTCCAGGAGACCTAAATTGTTACTGTGGCCTGGCCAGTGTGACTCAGTGGTTGAGCATTGACCTATGAACCAGGAGGTCACAGCTCAATTCCCAGTCAGGGCATATGCCCAGGTTCCAGGCTCAATCCCCAGTGTGGGGTGTGCAGGAGGCAGCCGATCAATGATTCTTTCTCATCGTTGATGTTTCTATCTCTCTCTCCCTTTCCCTTCCTCTCTGAAATAATAAAAGTACATTTTTTAAAAGTCAGGGTAAGGATTTATGGAAGACAGATAATCATTGGAGTTTTAGCTCAGGTTCATCTCAAAGTGGGTTCAGCGGGTCCCTGAATCCATCCTGTGGTTATTTCCCAGGTCCCATTCTATCACAACTGAAAGAATCTTCACATTGGTACAGCACCTGCCTACTGGTTCCATACACTGGGAATCTCAGAGGAGGAGGAGAATTTCTGGGTCACAGTCTATTCCAGGGGTGGGCAAACTTTTTGACTCGAGGGCCACAATGGGTTCTTAAACTGGACCGGAGGGCCGG